TCTTATTATCTACATAACCTAGAAAATAGTATTTGAACTAAACACTTATTCCCCCAGAGTCATGTGCCTTTGAGTGTGTGGTGGATGGGTCATGGCTGGAGAGAGAAGCTGACACCCACGTCCTTTTGCTTAGTGCTATATATCAGTGATCAGCTGTTTATAAACTGTCGTAGCATATTAGAGCGGAGACTTGTTTATAAATAGCAAATTTGTGTCACTCCAAATTCCATTCCAAAATCCATTCCATACTTTACACTATGCCGATAAAAAAGCAAGTTACTAAAATGTGGGCACAATTTTTTTCGGCTCCTATAACAGGCGCTGAAGTGGGCCCACATTTTGGAATGACATTATTGCCACTGTAAGCACTAGGTTCAACAATATATGTGGATGGAAATAATGATGCTACAAAATACTTCCCGATATGTGAACTTTTACAATATCTCATTACTTCGTTCGGTAATTTCAAACTTACCGTGTTGGCACAAGTGGAGCCAAAACAGCAAATACGAAACTAAAGCGCTTAACTCCTAATGCCGGAAACATGCTCAGAGTTAATTCCCTTCATCCAGCGATAATAATGTTTCGCCCTAAGACAGTTTATAAACAGCTGATCACTGATATATAGCACTAAGCAAAAGGACGTGGGTGTCAGCTTCTCTCTCCAGCCATGACCCATCCACCACACACTCAAAGTGGACTATATACAGGTTGGTCTGCGAGCAAAGACAAATTAAATAAAATTCCATTGTTCAGAACTTCAAAATGTTATGCCAATAAGGTAGTTCTACTTTATTCAAATAATCATAAATGCTGACAGAATTGGTTTATTGAAAATATATGTCACACATATGAAACATTAAGATTAGCAAACTGGGCACTTCTTTTGCTTGTATTGACAGATATGTTTTTTATTTCACCGAAAACAATATTGTTAAATTTACTAATTTATTGAAAATATATAAAATAACCACAAAAAACATCACGAGAAATTTAACGGAAATTTAATTGAATAGTTTTTAAATGGATTAAATGCCTGACACAAAAAGATGGCTTATGGCAACACTTGTCAAGATGTTCGATGGTAAACCTAGGAAATATCGATATCCCGAATTCCCAAAACATCAAATAAAAAAGTTAATTAAAGACATTTTAAAGAATGATTTTTGGAAAGATCTTTTAACTATTTATAATAGTTGCAAACTTTTGGAGATTGACGTATTCAGAAGTCTCCCTTTCATGAGTTTCGTTCCCTATAATGATTTAATAACATACATACATCAACTGTTAGATTCGCAGGGACTTTATCTCATCACAAGATTGTAAATTTATTGATAAACTGATTCGTGATGATGATGGTATTTGTACTTTTCAAGATCTTACTTCTAAATGGAGTGAGTGTGAATAGTTTTACGCCACCTTTAGCATTATTCCAGCAATATCACGACGGGGGACACCAGAAATGGACCATGTGGGGAATCGAACCCGGGTCTTTAGCGTGACTAGCGGACGATTTAACCATTAGGCTACCCCACCGCCCCTCTTCTAAATGGAACTCAGAGTTGGATGCACTCATATGAGAAAGTTACTTTTCCCAGTGTTTCAATAGAATAAGAATTGTGTGGAGGACAGAAAAACACGGAATTTCCAAAATAAACTCATCCATCGTATCATGAAACCATCAAAATAATTTCTTTTCAAAACAGGATTGATAGGGGATAACCTTTGTACATTTTGCCAATCAGAAAGTGAAACACTAGAACACTTAATTTTTCCTGTCGAAAAGTTCAAGTTTTGATAAATGAGTTCAAATTTTGTTATGAAAGTAGAACCTATTTAATATTAGACCTAAATATGAATAATCTTCTTGGCAATCCAAAGATCCTTGAAAACCACCTTTTTATAATAACCATGCGTTATATTAAAAATTGTCATTACCATAAAACTATTCCCATCTTTAAGCAAAACATAATCACAACATAGGAAAATTCAGTTCAGGAGACAATGCCAAATTTGCTGAAAAATGGACCCCCCTACAAATATAGATTGTGGCAACCAAACCAATGTTGGATCAATTGTTACTCCCTCCTCTCTCTTACTTTACCATATTCCTATATCTTTTTTCTTTGTACTTCATTCATACAACCATTAAACTTAACGGTTAATTATTTAGAATCTTGAATATATGTATGTTCGTAATATCCAGCTGTATGAATATTGTATTATTTGCCTATCGTAATAAAACCAAAAAACCCAAAAAACAAACAAGCCTGTATTCAGATATATAAAATTGGAAATAACAGATGACCATCTGGGAATACTTACGTGAGAATGTTTTCAGCTATTATTTTTAGTAGCAGTAGTAGTGTAGCAATACAAACGTCAGCTTCTGTAATATATTATTATTGGAATTACCGTATGTAGGGTTATCGTTCTTGTTTGAAGTAGTCGTGTTCATACGCCAATATGAAATCCTTTCGTTGTCACGGTATTTCTTCTCAAGCCTCGTTATAACGCCGGTAAACACTGCCGTAGGAACTGTCTTTTGTCGGACACGCATTGATAAGCCTCCGTCTTCTCTGATCTGTTTAAAATATCACTATTGCAGTGACAAGAAATGGGGTTAGCAAAACAAAACTTTAAAATGTGTGTATTTATAACACTACAAACCGAACGTAGAAATCCATACAACTTCATCATATGACGAAAATAAACACAACTATTAGATACACGCATTGGGAAAGAGTTCCTTACGTACCCCCCGCCTATTTTGTGATGAGCAAACACTTTAGTCTATAGTTAAAAATTAGAAGGGGTGGTGGGGGGTTACGTAAGGGACTCTTATCTCGCATTGATAAGCCTCCGTCACATTTCGCAATACAATACATCATTATTTTCTGCTGTTGTATTGTACTGTGAAGCCTTTCGAGTCGGGGGTCATTTAAAATGTTTTCATTGTAAACACTGTGTTGAAGACAAAGTTCATGTTTTAATTAATTGTCCGGTTTATAGTGATGAACGTTTTAGTCTTTTAAATACTTGTGATATCTGTTTTATAGCTGCCAAAACCTGATATGTTATTTTAAAAAGGAGAAAATCCGTATTATATAACTTTTAATTATTGTCACACATAATACATGTACATGCAAGTTTTTAAGAATTTTAGTCTCTCATAATTCCGTATGGAATGGCCCTTATGTATATATGTGTTTAATTAGTTTGTATATATGTATAACAGGGGTGAGACTTTAATAAATAATCTGTCTGTCTGTCTGTTTTTAAAAAGAAGCTTTTTTAAAATCTTTAATCCTCGCAAAGACGAAAGACGAGGGCCTGTTCTGAAGAGTAGCCAGTGGGAGACTTTGTTTGTGCCTTGAGTGTTGTTCCATTGTTATATGCATGTCCATGCAAAATCTAAAAAAAGGAATAGCGTATCTATGTAACGAACTATACTGTAATATTGACCGTAACGTTGCGCTAGCCATGTGAAACAGGGCCCTGGATCCCGAATATATTCGCTTGCAACATTGAAAATACGGTACGCGAATCACGTGATTCGTATGTGGCTCTAATTATAGAATGACAGGACAATTTGAAAACACAGCAATAGGATGGTAAGTAGGGTGGGTATTGCAGAGAATTTTCATATTGCGATATACTGGTATGCGAAAGCATGTATTGCGATATGTATTGCAATATATTGCATGAAGTATTTTTAAACAAAAAACTACTTATAATCGAGGTAATGCTTGATTTATAGAGCAAATACACAGCAAAATCACTATGCTTGATTAAGCTTTAATAACAACTTTTATTCATGATTAAAAATAAAAATGTCCGCGTATCGCAATACGTATCGTTTTCATGTCTAAACCGGTTATATTGCGCAGCCCTAATGGTAAGTATACATTCCCATCGGTTCCTAATACGACAACGATGTCATGCTAAGTCATCATTGCGCAGGATCACTGGATCGTTTGGTCCAGATTCGATTATTTACAGCTGGATACAGCCGATATGTAGCTGGAATATCGATACGCTGAGCATAGGCGGATCCAGTGTGTATGTGTGTGTGCCCACCCTTTTGTACTGAATGTACATTCGCTTTAATGGAAAAAGAAACCGAAAAATATTTAGACAATTGACTGTTGGTGCCACCCTGGCGGGCTGCGTAGCACACTCAACGCAGGAACATTTACACCCCTCGGGGTCTGTTCCTCCTTGTGGGAAGAGAGGTGGGAGACAGAGAGTGTGTGTTACTAAATATAGTACTGGATTTTCCGTGCGCATGTCCAAAACATGTCGTGGCGTTGCTTGTGATTTTGGGTGCGTGTTGGTAGAGGTAACGTGTTATTTCCCGAACTGTACATAGGCCCAGCTCGGGACCGACCCGGAATGAATGACTTTAATGCTTCTAGCCATAGTTATGAGCAAAAAAAGGAGCCATCGAAACAATAAATATCAGTCAACTACTCCAATATTTCCAACGTGTATTAATATTGAGAGCCGCGATGGGGTTGACTTAGTCCAGCATATATAACTAGACGACTTTGCACTATACCAAGGTGTGCTCGACAACTCGATGTAGGCCTTGGCTGGAAAACGAGTTTATTCATATGAACTAGGGTTGACTTACACTTACACTTAGTTACAGTCTGTATGTCTTGACTGCTGGACCCCATCGCGGTTCTGAATATGTACCCTCTACAACATTGGCGAAGAATTTCATTACATATGTCTCTGCCCTTTCTTCTAAAGTCATCGGAAAACATATATCCAAAACTATATTGTTAAAAATACCCAAAGTGTTAAAATATAAAGACTTGTAGTAACTGCACGGTAAACCATCCCGCCATCCAATGTATTCTTTATTGTATATTCTTAACACCTTATGACGAATCCCTTAGTAAAACTTCTGTTGTGTTCATACTTAGCCCATACAATATTGACAATGTTGTGATTGAGTAACTTCTTTTAAACCATTATATTTTTCAGGTTCCCACTGGTTTGAGATGGCTAAAAAAAATAGCGGAAGTCCTCTGTCGTCCCTAAGTTCTGATTCTCTTCATCTGATTCCCAACTTTGTTCATCTCGAGGAGCGTTTTAAATGCCCAGTATGTTTAGAGGTGCTAAAAAATGCTGTTCAGACCTCCTGTGGTCATCGCATGTGTGAAGAATGTAGTTTAAGTATTTTTGCAAAAGGAGAACCAGCCCAGTGCCCAGCATCAGATCCTGAAGAACCATGCGAACCAATTTACAAGAAACAGGTACCCACACTGAGATACTACAGTACTATACTATTAACTTGTTACAACAGGGTATGAAACTCCCCAAAATAACAAACACCAACATTTGAATTTTATTATATTATAAAAATTAATGGAAAACAGCAAAATACCTATTGAGTTTGAGTGGGGTGAGTACAATTTATTTGTTTACTCAAAGGAAAATTAGGATACCCAATTATAAATTGAGATGAACACAAGCAAGTACATAACTCAATGACCCAAAAAGTTATCTGTAGCTCTGTATGATTGAATGGTATTTGATTCCTTGAAATTGTGTCTACAATGTCGATAAACATCATGTGTTGGCCACTTTCCAGGAGTTATTGAGTATTTGAAGCATGGGAATATTTCGTTTGAAACCTCTGGCTAACTCAGTTGGTTCCAAGTGAATTCATGTGCTTCAAATACTAATTTGTCACTCTATGCTCTTTTCTTATACCTGGCGTACATATCTGTAGTACATGTTGTGACACTTTGTTTTGAAACTTTATGGTTTTAGCGCATACATACATCCTTCTTGGTATTATCGTTTTTTATCTTTATTGGTTTTTGTTTCCATCTTCGCCTTCATAATCATACAGGTATGATGGAAATGTATATATTTGGAGCGTCACATGAGGCATGAGTAGTAAGCAGTAGACCTGATGACTGTTGTGTTATTTATATGAATGTACCACTGTGATTATGAGAAGCATCAAAATATTTGTCAATTCGATGCTGACACAGTGTATTTTTGAGGTGGGTAAGAAACAGATTACTGCACTTGCACCTGTCAGATACCATTCATCTTACACTTTACGGTTCTGAAATGGATTTCACTTTTTTTTAACGGTTTCAACACTTTGAAAGATAAATGTTACCTGATACTTTTGGTCTAATCTTTGTGTAGTTATACATAGCGACCTACAAGTTAAAAGATTTAGTAAGTTAGCAAGTCACTGTCCATTAATGAACACATTACTGTATTACAATACGTTACTCTCACTTCCTGGTTTTCCCCTCCATAATATTGCCATAATAATGCTAAAAGTAGCATAAAACCGTACTTAATATGATCTTTTCATGCAAACATAAATGTTGTTACTTACATATTTTGAATTGTTTGAAGCCCATAACTGATGGTGTTTGAATAGTTTAATGAGTTTTGTCAACATTGTTGAACGCAGCATAGTCATGCTTTATCCAAGCAACATGTAAATAACTTTGTATGGACAAGGCGAATTGTTAATTGAACCAGGAATGACAAACAATACGATCAGAGCAAGAAAAATGATGTACCGGTAAGTCACAGAGACTCCCCATTGGCATCCATAACTTTATAAGTTGAACAAAGTCGGTGCAAGTGTGGTCATTCCTGATGAGAGATTGTAAAAGGATAGAACTTTCTGTATGTGATTTTCTTTCTGATCCCAATTCACCTTATAATAAAGGGTATTATTATGTCAGATATCATCATATAATTCTAATGGTAATCTGTTGATTTAAGCTAATTCTATTTGTGACATAATACTGATTTAGCCATTTATGGGGCATCCTCTTTCAGCTCTTTCGAGATGCAAGTGCAAGACGTGAAATTCGTCAAGTCCCAGTCTACTGTCAGAATCGTGCACAGGGCTGTACGGTGACTGTACCTTGGAGAGACTTGGAAGTAGGTTTGATTGATGATATAGTATCAGCACATGAATGAGGTTCATATAGCTAATAGAAACTATTTACAATAATTTCTTCTGAAAGAAAATTTTCAGTGTTTTTAAAGCTTTCTGTCCAAACAATATCATTAAAATGATTAACTGGGATCTTAATGTACCAGTATTTGTTTTCGAGTGTGTCTGTGCACTTGTGAAGATGTTTTGGTGTGGTCTTTGGAATTTTAGTGTGCCATGAAAAGAGTGTTTTTTATCCATATCCATCAATGTCATTGTAACATTGTTCTCAGTTAGAGAAAAAAGGAGCTCCATTTGCAAAAGGTTGCACCCTATTTCATTCAAATCATTAACCATCTATTCAGTTTCCGAATCCTGAGGTGTATTTTATGAATCTTTATGAAAATTCATGTTAAGCATTTTAGTAAATTCCTTTTAAGGATCAGTACTTTTTGGCCAGTGGTGTCCTCCTGTAAGTAGGTATCAAGACCTAACATAATGAGGTAGTGTGTTGTCATCATGAGGATAGTCCAGTTTCACTTGTACACAGTGCATCAGCCAAATTCTGTGATTAAAAATAAAGCTGAGGGAGTGCATTCAGTTATGGCAACCCACACAAACAAATGTTGTGCCTGTGATACTGGTGTGAACCAAATCTGTCACGATAAATTTAAACAAGTTTTTTTAGCACCTCATGCTCTTTGTGTTCATGACTGCATGACTGCCTCTCTCCGTTCTTCATGAAACTGAAAAACCCAATAATTGTCTACCAGGAAGTTTCAATTTTGATTTGTTGGATGATTTTCTTTTATCATCAAAACCTGATAATAGTAAAATTGACATAAAATGATAGACGGAGGGTTTTGGCAGTTGGATGATCACATTAGAAGCACTGAAATTTTGATATATTTTTTTATGTAATATTTTTCCAAAATGAAGGTCTATTCATCTCACATTGGACTTCTCTAAATAATGATGGTCAGCTTTTGGTTTTTCCAGGTGCTTGCAAACATTTTTTCTAGTTTGAACTTTTATCTTAATTTTTTTTTAAAACAATGCATGCTACAGAACCTCTTGTCATCCAGGATGCTTAATGAGTGATACAGATTTCTTGATTATATCTTTAACATATACACTGGTTTTATCCACAGAGCCACATGTCAAAGTGCCCATACCAAGGACTTGAATGTCCAAACAAGCAGTATGGGTGTAAGGAAGTTATTCCTTCTAAAGATATGGATCGGCATGTTCAGTCGGCATGTCAGTTTCGTCAGATCACTTGCAGACATTGTAAGACACAGTATCCTGTCAAAGATGATAAGGTAAGCAAATTTGCTCTGTCTGTCTTGGTAGTCATTGGGTGTGCACGTTTTACTTCTCTGAACTGATTGATTGATTGACATTCTAGAAGTTATTGAGTCAATAACAAAGCAAATTTTCTACGCCGAAACATCAATCTATGTAATAAACATATTATCCCCACGAACATATGCTTTGTTATTCTCTGAACTGGTTAAAGGGATGAACACAAAACTTAAAGAGGACATCTTAGACCATAACAGGACTCAAATATATTCATTGTACTGGAATCAGATCATAAACATTTTAATTATGTGACATATTTTGTTGTGTTTAATCATGTGTTTCCTAATTCAGTGTTCTAATGTAATAAAACATAATCTTGTTTCATATGGTATTTTGTCCTTGTATGATATTAAAGATTTTAGGTATAGCCAGAAAAGATGGAATCATTGTAATAGCTTAAAACTTTCCTTGGGAATGTAGGAATGCATTCTTACATGTTTTCTTTTACAGAAACACCACGAGGAGGACTGCCCAGAGACTATTATCCATTGTCCATTTAAATGTGGAGCACAACCTATGGCTAGAAAAGATGTGAGTCAATGTTTGAAGAGTTTCATTGCATATGCTGATAATATCAAAGGTTCATTTTTGTTGTTACAATAATTGCTTAATTACTTTGTAATTTGTGCAAACATCAACTGAACTTCTTTAATATTGTTACATGTCAATTTCCACATTAAGATAGTATTTAAACCCAGATATCTATACAGGAAAGAAGTTAGTGGGAAACCAACAAACAACAAAGACTTGTAGTAAGATAAACAATTGTATTATAAAATTAATTATGTTTACAAATATATTCCAATTACCCAATGATTACTGTGAAGTAATACAATGACTTTACATGTTAGAGTGGCAGTACATTTAGAGGCAGTAATAAGTCATTGACATAATAATATACAATACTATTGTTTTACAATAAATTAAACTTCCATATAACTGAGAATGTACAAATATTTTGTATTATTTGTATGTACGGTATATGGAAACTGACCGTCAAGGATTTTGTCAATATTGCTTCTCTAAAGTGTAGCATGATACTTCATGATATCCATCATGTGCTGAAAAAGCAAAACACTGGAACATCAATCTCCAGCAAGTTATATGGGGAAGTGATAAGTGAGAATTCATGGATCTGCTGATTACCATCATATAAACAATCCGGAAATGGTTCAGACACTCAAACACACTTTTTATGAAGGGGAGAATGTTTGTTAGTTAAAAAAGGAGCACAACTGAAGTTTGAAAGAATCCCAATCATGATCTACATACGTAACTAATGAATACCTCTTTTGGTTTCAAGTTCAAATTCAGACTTCTTCTTTTTGTGACTTGGTTTACAGGCGTATGTGGCCACCATACTAATTAGAATACAATTTTAAGAACATGTTTTGTACCAAGGGGGTTATCATCAGTAGTGTGTCAAAGGGTTATGTCCTTTCCTCAACAGATGAAGTGAAAAGCGGTTTTATGGTGGTTTTGTATGGTAATTTTCAAACCAACTGACCACATTTTTTGGATTGCAGCTGATACATTTGTTTCACATTTTGGAACGTATGCAGTATTATTCACAGAAATAATTTGGGAGTTTTTCACCATTCAAAGTTGGATTTTCATAAACAAGATGTTTTCCCATCAATGAACTCATTCAAGTACGAGGGTGGTTGGCAGCCACTTGGAGTACATACTGATGTGGTGGATAAAACACTTTCCAAGTTCAAGTTACAAAATTCAATGTCACTGAGTGAGCATTTCATTTCTGAAGATTTTCAAATTAACTGGACAGCAATGTGAATTGAAACTGAGTCTGAACAGGTTTGTTTCCAGGCTGAAATATAATGATGTTAACTTTGAGTTGTTTCACAGTCCAGGTGAACCAAAAGAAATGACTAATTGATGTTGCAGTGCTCAGTATATTTTGCAGGTTCAAAGGATAGCTACAGCTGTTAACAGGACTTACTAACTGCCGAATATTCTTTGAATTTACTATTTGCAAGACATCTTATACCTGTTTAATAGAGCAAAGAATATGAGAATATTTTGAACAATTACCATGTCTATGGAAACTGACTGTCAAGGATTTTGTCTGTACTGCTTTTACTGTTGAAATGGCTACCCAGATTTGATGCAGTCTGGATTTCTACAAACAAACAAAAAACATCAAGAGATGAGGTAATTTTGAAATTTATATGTTGTATTTCATGCTTATGATTATTACATACAGCAGATTGAGTTCTTTCCTTTTTGATGACAGGAAGTGCTTTTTCTGAAGAACATTGCGCTCTTGTAGCAAAAATAAGTAAGATTAAAATTAAATGTCTGCATGATCTGATTTGTTGTACTTGAATCACCTTTGTTTGACAACTGTTCCTACTTTAAACTTGTGTTTGATACTAGTCATGTGTTGGCCCCAAATCTTTGTGCGAGTATAACTGATTTTGCATAATGTTTTGCACTTTTCAGATATACAAACATATGTTTGTTACCATAGATCAGCAAATAGAGATAGTTTGTGGGTTGACGCTGCCAAATGGACGTCATCTCCCAAAGATAATACGTCTTTGGATTGTGATCTTTAAGGTGTGACGATCTGTGCAGGATGATGCAGAAAACATGTAATACAGATAACTTTTAACAGTGTTTTTTATTTGTTTGCAGCTGGCACAGACTTATACAGTGCACTGTAATGGAACAAAAGGACGGCAGCCAGATAATGCTGATGGATTGTAATGTATGCAAATGTGACTGAAGTATTTTCTGTCATCTCAGATCTAATACCGCCCACATCGACACATTGGTATCGACCTATCAGATAGGATTTCAGCCAGAATAGTGCATCGCCATTAACACCAAATCTCTGCTCAAGGGTATCAAGGAGTCTTCCCTGATCAATGGTGTCAAAAGCAGCTCTTAAATCCAGGAGTACCAACACTGCTGCACCATCCTTGTCAACTGCCCGAAGGAGATCATTCTCAATGCGAACAAGGGCAAACTCAGTACTATGGCCTTTCCTGTAGGCTGACTGGAGAACTCATCATCATCATCATCATCATCATCAGCAGCAGCAGCAGCAGCAGCAGTAGTAGTAGTAGAGTCTTTTACCTTGTTGTCCTTGTTTCACAAGTGAGACTGAAATAAAGTTAATTTCATGACCTCAGCTCACCACCACAAGATTATTTAACAGTTGAATTACCTCCCCTATTCCACTGGTTGTATTTGTTACCTGTTTTACATATGAACTATTTGTTTGGTAATACTGAAAGTTCCAGAAAATCTTTTATTGAAAAAATAAAATAATAAATGATAACAAAAAATAATGTTACAGAGGTAAGGCAAAAAAGGAAATTACTGAAAAAAGTTAAAAGTTTTCAACTGTAAAAGAGAAAGCACAGGAAAGAAAATTGATTTTTCTAATAGTGAATTTTACACATTGGTGCATATAATATCCAAATGCAGATAATGAAACATTTTCATAATTAACTTGGAAATTGATTAAAAATGATTATTTCCAGATATTACTTGATGACAAGGTTTTCCTTTAATTGAACAGCTGATATTTCTGAAGAACAATTGACCAGGTCACTACTTCCATCCATACAGCTTTTGAAAACCAAAATAAGAGTGCAATATCATATATTACCTACTTAGGCTTGAGATTTCTCTCCTTTCATATTCATATACACATTACTGTAGAAAATGCTGCTGTTTTAATTTCTTGTTTTCTATAGCAAAACTGCTGGGATGCAACTATCCAAATACATTACTGTAATTATAGCTGATTTTGAGTGGATTTCATTACGCTTCAAGGGACAGTGCATTGGCGGAAAATATTTCCTGAGTGTGACGTCACACCTTTAGGTTGTGCCTGATTCAGTTGTCAAACCATAGCAACAGAGCTAGCACTGCATAGCGAAACTTACTTCTTGTTTATTTTTCATTAGTGTTAAATTGGGACCGCCTCCGTGGTGTAGTGGTTAGAGCGTCCGCCTGGAGAGCGGAAGGTCGTGGGTTCGATCTGCGTCATACCAAAAGACGTTAATATAAGGGTAATGCTATTTTTGAGATAATTATCAGAAGACCGAGGTCTTCCATTAACTGCCCGACGAAGGAGGGCAGTTTAAAAAGACCGAGGGCTTCTGCAAATGATAATGCCCTCAAAAATAGCATTACCGTTATTATTGCTAAAATACATGGAATTTGTGTTGAAAAGAAAAAGGAAACAACAAAGGTATTTGACTGAAAGTTTACTCAAAACCAACTTCTGACGGGGTTGACTGCCCGAATGCAATTACGTCATCGAACAATTCAAGTGACGTCACAACAGAAAGTGACGATATTCGACCATGGCCTTTGACAAGACCATAGCCTGCAACATGTCAAACTATGTCAGTGTTCGGGTTTGATCAAACAACAACGTTAATAGTGCAATTGTTAAGGTTAGCACCAGCAAGAAAGCCAATATTACTGTATTTGAAGCGGGAATTCGGGTTGCTTTGACTTGTTTGCCCCAGAATATCTGCCAGTCCAAAGCCAATGTCAAATGAACCGTAAGCCCACGCACCCACTATGATGTCACTTGACAACAGAATTGATAGTGGCCCGTTGTTAAGGTTGAGTGGTCCAATATCATTTGCAGCGGCCCGCAAGTTTCTGATAATGGGAGGGCCGTTTCATGATAATTCCATGTATTTTAGCTATAAAATATGGTACTTGTAGGTCCCTGCCTGGCGCTCAGCATTAATGGGTACAACAAGGACTGGTCAGCTCGGAGTCAGTATAATGTGTCTGAGTGGGGTATTCATGCTTCACTGCGGCATGGTATCTCTGTGGGCTAGCACTACAAAACCAGCTTAAGTCTGGGCTAGTACAAGCAGCCGCACATACACATACACACGCATGCATGTCGTCATATGAGCGAGATATTCTTAAGCACGATGTAAAATCAAATTTCACCTCACCTCACCTAGTGGCAAATTGAGGAGAAAATGTGAATGTATTGCTTATGGATGAATTACAAAATACCGGTTGTCAGATTCTTTAGGTCAGAGTCCAGTGCCTATATTGCAATATGAATATGCCTTGGTTGTATGAAACCAGTCACCCTTCTGCTCAAAGTTCCTTGCAGACAGTTAAGTACTTCTATCACATCATCACATTTTTTCACAGTCCATTCAATGTGTTTCATTTTGATTGTCTTGACATTGAGATATTCATACATATTGTATCACTTTCTTCGTGAAAATACTTTAAAATGTGAAAAACTTTCCATGTGTGTTTTTATTCTCCAAATGCTGTCATCAAGCCCCATGGAAAGCTAGCAATAGATAACAGCTATGTTATCAGTCACAGTTCTAATAGTATTTCTCTGTGCTAAACGGTATGTAAGGCACATCAGGTCTTTCTGTTCTTATTTCAGAATAAATGCATTTATTTACAAGCAAGGTCAAGCAACATCCTGACCACTGGATAACAGTTTCAAACACCAAATATCTGCATCCTGTTAGATCGGATACCAGTGGCAAAGTTTGTTTTATGTGCGCATTTTGTTAGTTTACTCAAGACATAATTCAACTTATTTGTTGCCTGCAGTTAGAAACATGCATTCTTTGTCAATCCCTTTTTTGAAAGCAAAGATGATAATGTCAATACAGATTTATCTATGGCTTTTTGTTCATCAGTTGTGTATGTTTGATTGGCTGAAATTTTTCCTTATCCTGACTCATGTATTATTGCTTTTCTCCTTCCTCTTGCGAATGTTAGTGGAACACTTGTATCTCCTATTGAAGCTCCCTTCAATAAAAAACAGACGTAAAAACACTACTCACCAAGAGTTATCTGTCTGGCCGTTTTGGCGGGAAAGCGGCGCCACCGTACTCCCATGCTTCACTCTCTCCTTCTTCGCCCTAGTGGACGGTTGGGAGAGCACCTGTGTCTCCAATATGGCACTATGTCCTTTGATTATTTAGTTATTACCCTATAAATTACCTTTATAGGGGTTTAGGGAGTATCCTTCAACAATATGGTTTGAAATTTATTCGTATTTTCACTGTTTATTCACGTTTTTTGTACGTGATTGTTCAGTTGTTTACATTTCATGAAAACCTGTTTTCGTTGTAGGTTTAGGTTCGCTGCTGCAGACCCGCATTGACTGTGCCCTAGCTGCACAACAACATGTACTTCCAGCTATCGATGTAATCTTTATCAGCATTTAACAGAAATTCAAATTAATAAATAAAATTTCTCTGTACTTAGGCGTACTGGTGACAATCCAGGCGACTTTACAAGTCATGGATAAACCGGCTGAGTTCTTCACGAGCTGTCTACTGCTGTCAGACGACTTACTTCCATCCAGTGACCTGCCGGAGGTGTCCTCGGAGGATGGGCGTGGGATGTTGTCCGCCATTACTTCGAAGAAAAGGTCTTCTACATCGGACAACCCCTCCATGCAGACGAAGAAGAAGAAGCCATCCTCTACGCAGAATGAAGCCTCATACCCCTAAGACGTCTAGCAGCTCTACGGGGACTTCTGCGCAGACTACAGGGACCTTTCGGCCGACATCATCCCGATGGAAGAGAGATGACTTCATGATGAGCCGCTGCTGATCATCCCAGAGATACAGCACGCAGTCCGAGGGCGGCAGATGAGCGATCCCTGGACCAAAGCGCGCTATCAACACAGAGAGGGCAGCTCTACTATCATCGCAGACCTTCAACCCGTGGCCTTCATGCAGCAGTTCTCTCAGCAGATATGGAGATGATGGAGAAGCTCTTCCCGAAAGAAGAGCATCGCATGATGGAGAGCCACAGGGCTCTCATGCTCAAGTCATCACCCGCAGAGACGACCTGGACCTGCACGAAGGACCCAACACTGACGATACTTCGGAGAGGCCGTCCAGCGAAGCGACACCCAGAACCAGGAGCAGATCTGCGCAGGACGGCACGCTCATCTTCAGATGACAGCTCAGATGAACAGCCTTCGGACACAGCCTCAAGGACGTCATCAGCATCTCCAGATCGTCAAGGGCTTCACCGAGGCATTCACGAACCAAGAGACGCTCACCTCCACGCAGGTCTCCGCGCAGATCGCCTTACAGACGCAGCTCAACAGGCAGATCTCCACGCAGGTTACCTTTAAAAAAATGATACGACTTTTATTCTCCATATTTTCAGATTGTACTTGAATTTGGTTTCATTCGAACCTTTGTTTCTGTTTCAGAATAAGAGATTTTGTTTAAGTACAAGTCTGTTAAAACACTACAGTCTCTATGCCAATATGCTTGTCATAGCTTTAGTTTTTGTAATTGCTAACTGTACAATATCTGACTTGACATGAAGCATCTGCTTGTGGAAGATGGTAAGAAATACATTCTGGCTTGGGCTGCTAGTTAGGTTACACATCACGAATATTGGGTATCAAATACAAATATGGGCTAGCCGATACAATAACAAGCCAGCAACTGAAGTATTTATTATGCTTAGTGAAACTTTAACAAAATAAATTCTTTGACATGTTTTGACCAGTGTGAATATATCATGATAACGACCACTGACCACATTACTGTCTTTACTGTACATTGGTGTTGACTATTGTCCTGGATATATTGGTCATATTCCACTTTGCATATCTCACTTTGATAAATAATAACCCAATTCAAGTAAAAACATTTCTTTTTAAAAATGAATATGAAAATGAAGTATCCAATAAGAAAATAAAGTTTATTAGGTGTTCAGTTGAGTTTGCACAGTCAGTGATGTTCTCAATAATATTTTCAGAATTGTCTTAAAGCCAATATTGTGTTTCAGATATTTTTATAGTCATTTCATTTTTGGGTCAACTAATTAATTGATAAACCAAGTTGTGGTTATGCATAACATGAATCAAACTTTCTACCATGATTGATGTTTTTTTCCCAAATCATTTCCCATTTTAAGACATAAAGGGGGTCCTGATGATATCTTACCCTTACTATATAGGATGTGTGTATGATGGACATAATTGCCATTGCTTACAGGCAGTTTATTTCTGAAGGCATCAAAGTGATTAGGCATTTTCTAATGATAAAATTGCCCCAAATTGGCCGGCTCTAGCTCTGTCATTTAGTATCTCAAACTAAAATGGCAAATAGCTATCCATCTGTACATGGAGAGGATAGTGCTCCTGCTACTATTGCCACTGTGAAGTTCCAAAGGTGAAAAGAGAATCTTATCAGGATGACCTTCCAACTGCCACTACTATGAAATGTTTCAATACGACTATGGTTGATGGACTATCTCTCAAAAGGTAAAAACATTACCTACCAAAATTACAAGGCCAAAACCTTGTGGAACACTCATGCAAATTATGTTGTTCCACCAGGACAAAGCAGTTGTGCCAAAGTATGTTGATGCCATGGCTGTGGCCCTGAACTAACTGAACATCATCTATACATGTTGGGCTAGTACAAGCAGCCGCACATACACATACACACGCATGCACGTCGTCATATGAGCGAAATATTCTCAAGCACGATGTAAAACCCAATTTCACCTCATCTATACATGTATTCCCTAGACTTCACACTGTGAAATTTCAAAACTTGAAGAAAGTACTGTCTGACAAGCATTATGCCTATGTCAATTTTGGAGTATTTACACCATCATTAGGAAACCTTCTACACCAGTGGGCTCAAGGCACTCCAGCATTGTTGGCAGAAGCAGTGTGGATTCTTGGAGGGAGTATTTGAAAACTAATTTGCATCATTACTTCCTAAGGACCTTTCAGCTGCCCAAATGGTATCTTTTTCAGTTTCTGAAGACAATTGTTTTTGTTTTAGTTGAATGAACACAGCAAATCATGCCCCCAAAAGCCCCATGAATGTCGTTTCAAGTCTGCAGGCTGTACGTTTGTGGTGAGTTTTGCTGTTGTGATTCCTGCTGTTATGAGATAATCAGAAAAAGAATAGTCCACTTTGACCATATATAAAGGAAAACAAATGTGTAGAAATCATGATAAAGTATTTCCTTAACCTTTGTGAAAGATTAGTGTTTGGTTGAATGGGTTTACATGCAATGCAAGACTGGTGAATGTATTATTGTGAAACTTTTAAGATGCAGCAAGATTTCCAATAAACATTTACCTTTGGGGGATTCCTGGTAAGAATCTTGAGCTCCAGGAAGCTATGCTAATTATCTCCTGTTAGGAAACACAGAGTGGATTATAAAGGTCAGAATGTGTGTCTCTCTGTCTGCCATCTATTTCCTGTTTCCAGAGTGCAGAACATTTAAACCACTGAAATGTTTTGGATGAAACTTGCTATACAGATCAGTCTAATGGTGAATCTATGCCCTTTGATGATTTATGTTTTCATGAAGACTAGTTGGACTTTTACAGCAAGCACTTCCATCACTTTCAATCTGATCTGGTGCTCCTTTCATGAAGCAACCTTACTAAGGTTAACCTTAACTATCATACTAAGGTTACGTTAGTGACTTACGATCACCTTAGTGCTTTGTGAAAGGAGGCCCAGAACTCCAAAACGAACATAATTCCTTATAAAACTTGCTGTACAGATAAATCTTGGGGTGACCTTTTGCTTCTAAAGTACTGTCGGAAATAGAAAAACTTTTTTAACAATTTATGTGATTAATATGAGAAAGTGTGAAATATCTGTTGAACTAAGTTCGGCGTAACTACAGTCTGAGTGGTAGGGAGGTAGGAAATATGAAAAAAGGACTTTATTAAGGAGAGATTAGTGCAGAAATGAGCAATGCTCTTTTTTAAAGTCCAAAGCGACTTATTTGGACCGTGTCTTTATACAAATTAGTGTGCGATGATATTGCATTACAAAGGACACTTTTTAAATGCCCATTTTGAAATTAGACTTCGCTTCATTACAAACGATAGCTGACATAAAATATAATGATTTAATACCAAAACTAGTAAGGATGTAGCTATCACTGAGTCTCACCATCACGAAAAAACAAACAAGTGAGAGGGGTCGTCTCAAAGCAAAACCAGGATGGGTGTCACAGACGGTGGTTAGGGTTGGGCTGGGGGATATACATATCAGCTCAGATAAGATAATCCTTTAGGAGAATTTACAAATAATATCCAGTCCTGTTAATCTTTGGGTGGTCATGCCACCTATATATTTTAAGACAATTAATACGATGGCTGATTTAAGCTTTTCTATGGGTATCATACTCTCTTACATATCTCAATATAAACTTTATGAAAGAAAGACACGTTAGATGTTAATCAATAGATGAGACATATTCAACACACATGATAAAGCATAAATATATTTGAGATGACCCCTTGTGCCTGTTGGCAGCACATGCATTTCATGCCAGGTGAGTTGACAGTCCCTCGTCATACCTGGCTGAGCGACCTAATTGCCATCTATAGTCTGATCTATTATTTTGCCCAATTTTACAAGTAAACATGCTTTTCTGGATATCCTATTATGCATTGCACTAAATGCCCAGTTAGGCCGATGTCGGTTATTTGGACATTTGCTGTTTGCAATTGTGTAAATTTTAGGGATACAGAGTAACAGCCTATAAACAGTTTTTTTTCTATTATCAACAGTACTTTAGATGATTTGTGATTTTTAGAATACTGAACCATGTTATATTGCCTTCATTAAACTTAATGGCAATACTGCAGAAGTGGGACAGAAGTAGCCAGACTCCATGTCTCGATTGCACAGGATCATGAACATATGTCTTTTACTAATACTGGTACCTCTTGTTATAAGAATTAACTAATTTCAACTCGCTTTAGAGCCATTTGAACTTATGTTGTTGCATGTTAACCAATCATGAACAGCAGAAAGAAATGTGTTTGTTTGCCCAAAATTAGATCATTGAAGGTAATTATTTTGAAATATGTCTCTTAATAATATACATGTATATCATTTTGAGATTTTGCATACATAATGCTTCTACAGTTTGGAATGAGCAAATTTAAATCCTTTGGATCCACATCCACGTATGTTGCGTCAGTCAGCTTCATCTATAATCATTTTATGTGTTTTAACTTACCTGGCTTCTATTTTGTGTAAAGTAAACTGAACTGTTACAATGGTCTACAGTTTATTGCAGGCTTTTGAAACATTTGAGTCCTTTTACTTCTTTTATCTTGTTATATCTTTGTCCTCAGTATTTTTGAACAACAATGATCATTGCAAATGTTTCTAAGTAGTTTTCATTTGGTAAATATCCAGATGATCTACAGTGCAGTGTCACTGTTTTGTTTATCACAGGGAACAGAAGCTGATATTGAAGAGCACATCAAGAAGAGTGTAAATGAACACCTTGAGCTAGTTACTATGTACACAGGCAGTATGGAGCTGCAGAGTTTTGAAATTCGATCACAGTTACAGGTAAACAAATTGTATATGTGTAAACACCATGTATCTGATTAAATTTGAAAATTAGAAATGAGTGTAAATAGGTTTTGAGGATGGTTATTACCATCAGAAAAACTAGTGAAATACATTTGCTACCGGTATGTGCTTCCAGTAAATAAAACATGTAAACTTGAACTATAGACCAAATAATTAGAATGAATCAAATTTATGATGTAATTTGATTGCAATGTTCATTTGCATAAGTTCAAGTTGTTACAATTGGTGGAAATCACAGAACAAACACAATCCAGTGATACTATAAAGCTGCTGAGAAAGTCAGAGATATAAAACAGAGAAAAACAGGCCGTTCACAATCAGTATTTGAATTGGGGGGATGAATATAATAAAATATGTTTGCAACAGTCATTGAGTCCCATAAAAGACATAGCCATCAACATGACTTTGCTTTTCAGTAAGTGTTAATATTATGCACCAATCAACAAGTTATTTCAAGAATCTGATGAGGCTGTTACCTCAGTAGAACACTGGCAACCCACCAGTGTGTCACATCTCAACAAAACATTTAATCATTAGATCCTTATTTTCCGAAGAAGAATTGGGGCTGTAAATTATCGAAATAGGATGTACGGGGCAAAAAGATGAAGCTATTTGTTTGGCATGTATTGAACCAGTAAGTTTATTGTTCTCATATTTTGAAGGTGCCTTTGGACAAGAGGCTAAAGTCGCAGAGTTCTTCCGTGCCTAGTTATAGCCAATTATGTGTGCTCAACAGGACACTATTGCTGTCAGTGTCTGCAGATCAGTAATAATGTGTGCTCATCAAGACATTGCAGACTTCATATCTGGAGACAGATTCAGAACGTGCTTTAATGTTTTGAGACAGATTCAGAACGTGCTCATCAAGACACTACAGACTTTAATGTCTGGAGACAGATTTAGAACAAGTGTTCTACAAGATGCTACAGACTTGAATGTCTGGAGACAGATTTAGAACAAGTGTTCTACAAGATGCTACAGACTTGAATGTCTGGAGACCGATTCAGAACAAGTGTTCTACAAGATGCTACAGACTTGAATGTCTGGAGACCGATTTAGAACAAGTGTTCTACAAGATGCTACAGACTTGAATGTCTGGAGACCGATTGAGAACAAGTGTTCTACAAGATGCTACAGACTTGAATGTCTGGAGACCGATTTAGAACAAGTGTTCTACAAGATGCTACAGACTTGAATGTCTGGAGACAGATTTAGAACAAGTGTTCTACAAGATGCTACAGACTTGAATGTCTGGAGTTCTACAAGATGCTAACCCGATTTAGAACAAGTGTTCTACAAGATGCTACAGACTTGAATGTCTGGAGACCGATTTAGAACAAGTGTTCTACAAGATGCTACAGACTTGAATGTCTGGAGACAGATTTAGAACAAGTGTTCTACAAGATGCTACAGACTTGAATGTCTGGAGACAGATTGAGAACAAGTGTTCTACAAGTGTTACAGACTTGACAAGATGCTACAAGATGCTACTTGAGACTTGAATGTCTGGAGACCGATTTAGAACAAGTGTTCTACAAGATGCTACAGACTTGAATGTCTGGAGACAGATTTAGAACAAGTGTTCTACAAGATGCTACAGACTTGAATGTCTGGAGACCGATTTAGAACAAGTGTTCTACAAGATGCTACAGACTTGAATGTCTGGAGACCGATTTAGAACAAGTGTTCTACAAGATGCTACAGACTTGAATGTCTGGAGACCGATTCAGAACAAGTGTTCTACAAGATGCTACAGACTTGAATGTCTGGAGACAGATTTAGAACAAGTGTTCTACAAGATGCTACAGACTTGAATGTCTGGAGACAGATTTAGAACAAGTGTTCTACAAGATGCTACTGACTTGAATGTCTGTAGACAGATTTAGAACAAGTGTTCTACAAGATGCTACAGACTTGAATGTCTGGAGACAGATTTAGAACAAGTGCTGAGCAAGACACTACAGACTTTAATGTCTGGAGACAGATTCAGAATAAGGGTGTTCTCCCATTTGTGAGAACTTCCAGTTGTGAGACACATTATTTATGGTTCAGTGCACACAGGTTGTGCTTCCCCATTCCTACGATGAAAGTGGGAACAGCCCTGCTGCTGAAGAGTACCCGCAGGATAGTCCATTAATGAGTTAATTAACACAGAAGACATTGTTCGTTGAAGAGCATTTATTGTTTTCAATAAAGAACAAGTTAGATACTGAAATACTGAAAAAGTTAATCATTTTATTTACACAGAAGAAATAGTTCATTAAATATTTCATTATGATTTATGATTCACACATTTTGATGATTAACACATTTGATTAACTGTTATGATGTTTGCGTGTCATTATAAAACACTTTTGTACATGGGTCCATATTTGGAGATCTTGACACTTTTCATATTTCCAGTTGTTTGCCGACTGCATCAAGATACTGCATGTGATTTTTCGTTCCATCGGCGAGTTGATCTTTGAGTCTATGTAGGCGATTGTCTATTTCCCTATACACGCGTTCCCTCGATCGAGGGCCTCCCAGGGCGAGTTGGCACAGCTTGGTCTTCTCTGCCTTCTCTATTTTCGGAGGCAGTGGACATCTTCTGGAGGATGGTCATGATCGGTCACATTCAAAACAAAGTCGCCGACTTTAGTGCATTTGCCGTTGCACGTTGTTTTTGTACATCTCCAATAGGTACAAGTCTGGCGCTGCTTGTTCTTGTAATACAGGCAGGGATACTCTCCCCGTTATATAGTCACCCTTCTACAGGTAACCCTGAAAGAGCACCTGAATACTGCCTCGTGAACTGGTGATATATTCTACTTGTTGAAGGCCTGCCATAATGGTGATCGGAAAGAGCAGTCAAATTTTAATAAATACATTTGGATTAATTATAGTTACAACAGTTATTGCTAGATTTTTCAAACACGTAAATCTGAATAGGTGAATTACTTTCTCTTTCAAATGATCACGAAGTTACCTACACAAAGCGTTTATTTTTTTAAAGCCATTTACCTGAGTAGGTTAATTACTTTCATTAAGTTACCTCCACAAGATTCAGTTAAATAGTTAATCCCTAATTAGCTGGGGTTAATCCATTCTATCAGATAGGGGAGTAAGGTGTGTTTTCTTTGCTAATTACCTACTCCACTGTCTCACAACTGGGAGTTCTCACAAATGGGAGTAGAGCAGAATAAGTGCTGAGCAAGACACTACAGACTGAAATGTCTGGAGACAGATTTAGAACAAGTGTTCTACAAGATGCTACAGACTTGAATGTCTGGAGACGGATCCAGAACAAGTGTTCTACAAGATGCTACAGACTTGAATGTCTGGAGACAGATTTAGAATAAGTGCTGAGCAAGACACTACAGACTGAAATGTCTAAAAAGATTTTGAACAAGTGCTCAACATGACTTTACAGACTTTAATGTCTGACGACAGATACAGAAGAAGCGCTGAACTATAATGTTTGGAGACAGTTAGTGAACAGGTGCTGAACAAGACATTATAAGGCATGGACTCATTCACGTACTCACACACCAACATTTTTACCCAATTTGATCAAATGTATCTCAAAAGGATACACATGCAAAATAATATATTAAATTTAGAAGAGTCATATATATACAGCAACAGTTTTATGTTCTTGACACAGCTATCAATGACTGCATAAAATGTGAAGTGAATATTGTTGCTATTCAAGTCCAAGTGAGCAGCAATTTCTCTCAACATGATAATGTTGTACTTGATCAGGAAATCACCCAGCAGAGAGATGCCCTCCGTGGAGAGCTGACAGCTAGAAGTCAGGAGAATGAGGAACTGAAAGGGAAAGTGGGATCTCTAGAGAAAACACTCAAGGAATTGAGGGTATGTACTTTAATAGCCATCCGATTTCAGTGGACACTTTAAATGAAGTTTTGGATATTATCAGTGTTATCTATATTGCCTTTCCTGTTGATTTAATCCTACAGATTTAATTTTTCAGAAGAATGACAGATTGATACAAATACCATCAAAAAACTGTTGACATGTTTGATAAATATATGCTGTATTCATAAATGATGCTGCTTGCTTTCAAAACAGGGAAATGGATCAATACTTTTTCAGGAGGTGATATTGTATGGCAAGAACAGACAAATGGGAAGAATTAATGAAGCAAAAAACAAAGTTCATTTATGTTTAATGGGAAGAATGTTCTTTGCAGTAAAAGTACGGGTAATTGATCATGTTGCACAAATCAACAATGTAACAATGTATGTCTTTGTAGTAAGAGCATGAATGTAATAAATGTAGTGTGAATAAATAGTGTTTGATGGTCACAGGTGCTTTACATGCTTAGTAGCAATTGCAGAGGTGATCATGAAAATATTCTGCCTTTCTTGTCATGAATGGCTGTGGATTAATACATTATAGCTGATGGGAACTACTGGTATTTCTTCAGCATTACTTGTGTACTGTTAAGAAGATGCACAGACCCAAGAAGATGTAGAAATGGCCAAACAGAGATTAGGACAAGGAGATGACATCAGATTTGTATTTGGTTTTAGGTTAAGATGGTTGGTTTGACAGAAAGAACTATCATTCTTGAGAGAAGGTTGGAAGAGCTGCCAAGAAAAGAACAGATTGAACAGCAAAGTAGAGACCTACAGGCACTGAAACAACGTACAGAGGAGCTTCAAGGACAGGTTATGAATGCAGAGGGAGGTTCAGCTATAGCAAGATATGGAAGCCTTTCGACTATGGCTGGTAATGGCCATTGGATTTTGAATTTGATGATTTTGACAGCTGATTTCTATACCCAGGGCAAACATAATAAACACCCACACATAACAAACAACAATGCTGCACATTGTTCTGCTCAGTGGAAACATTCAGAAATATACCATGGAATGCCAATAGTCATTGCCTCATAGAGGAGCGGTCAGAAAGCAATTATTATGATGATATACTTGAACAGTGCCTCTGAATTGATGAATTGGAAGTGATCAGCTCCAGAGCTAACCTTATGTGCGAGCTCTATAAAGACCATCACCCAAAGAAAAGTGTCTGTATAGTGAACCTGATTTTGAATTATTTGTACTGCCATTTTTGCATAATACCAGTTTGGTATTGTACACACTGTTATGGAGTTATCAATATTAATATGGCTTTCATCATCTCAAAAACCTGTTGCTGGAATATTTGAAAAAGACAGGTGTGAAAGCTATCACACCGGGAAACATATGGTAATGCAGTGAACAATTCATGAACAAGGTCAAAATTAAACAGAATGACTACAAAACAAAAAACCCAACCAACAGTATCCCAAATGCTGTGGCAGTCAATGAAACAAATGGCAGTATCACAAATATGAACCGACAAGATCCCTTGTAGAAAATGCTTGTTACAGATTACTAAAGTGAGTATTTTTATGCAATGGGTTGACCTGTGTCAGAAAACTTTTGCCGACTCTTGTCCATTGATCTTTGCAATGCCATGCTTCGCTGATTTGGGACCATCAACATTGTTACCATGATTCCTGGAGCCTTTAAAGACCTACCTTTTCTAACTACTCAATCGAGTCACATCAAGTACTGACACCCCAACCACAAGTAATAATTTATCATATATACTGTAAGCCATTAAAAACGCAATTTGACATTCATACTTTCTGTACTCACACCAATTTCAACAGATATACACCTAACTGGCAGATATGTTTTAAGTGAACATCTGTGAATAATTTCATCTGAAAATGTCCAGTCAACAACAACATCAGTGACGCAACAACGACATCAAACAAAGGAGGGTCACTTGCAGTCAATATCGTGTGTCCACCCGTGCGCTGCAAGACATGCTCGCAGTCTTTGGGGCATTGAAAGACGCACATTTCTCAGGAACAGCTGTTGGATGGTCTGCAGCCTCTGATGGTCTGTGGTCTGATCATGACACCACCCCCACCAAAACGATCATGTTCAAGGACACAGTTTGGCGCAAGTCTTTCTCCTTTACGTCGATAAATCTGTGGACGTCCATCTGCAAAGGATAAGTTAAACCTGGATTCATCTGACAAAATGACATCTGGCCATGTCCTGTTGCCAAGATTGGCCCCATTTGCTGCCCATCGCTGTCTGGCAAGTCTGTGGCGATGCAATAAGGTTGGACCATGGTACGGGTGACGACACCGGATGTTGAAGGCAGCAAGGCGTCCTTGCACCTTTTGGGCGCTGAAGTGACGTTGACTTGTCCCAATTGTCCTCCTTGCCTCATCATCAGCTGTTTGGAACCGATTTCGCAAGTGTGAAACTCGGATATTGCGGTTTTGTCGAGCTGTTATCACAGGTGGTGCACCAGGTCGCGGACGATCAGCAACACTTCGGGTAGCCTGAAAACGTTGTCTGAGTCGACTTACAGTGGATGGATGCACATTAAAGTGCCTAGCAATCATCACACCTGAAGCACCTTGGCTGACCATACCGATAACCTGATTCCTTTCGTCTTGTTTCAATTGTGGCATTTTCTCAAAGTGATTGAGTTCCACAATTCCTTGTGCTTTTACAGGGCCTGGGTGCAGGTAATGCATGTGCACAACGTGTTTCATGAATGTGGTTGTGTTTACGAGAAATGTCAAAGGTTCAGTTTTAAGTATCAAAGTTCATGTGAGAGGAATGCTTCGGGACTCGAACTCGCAATGGCCCGAATAACAGCCTTTTATCCCTACATCCTCTGTATCACAGGCAAAAACTTCAATAGAACTTTTGTGAGTTTCAGGACAACAAATACCAATTGCGTTTTTAATGGCTTACAGTATATATCTGAGATACATTGAAAACAAGTGTCCAAGCAATGTTTTCAGAATTAAAATGATTTTGTGATTGGATGGGTAATATTTGTTGATTTGTTTAATTTATTTTTTTCATTCATCCCAGTACCAAGCAGGACAAATGTTATGTCTTCGATTGTAAGGTATCAAACAAGGATGTAGATAAATTTGTGGTAGGGAATGATGCTACAGTCAGTGTGTAATGATCAACTTATCAGTGCATTTCAAATGGCAATAGCCTGATGACATTACATTAATGACATTGAAAATGATAGTTAACATTGATACCAAGCTAAACTGTCAATAGTATCTACTGCCCAAATGTAATGGAAACTTAAGTTATTCATTTGCATTCTTAATTCACTGAGCCATAACACCACATATATATATTTGATTGCACTTTTTGTGCTGGTGATTAGGTGGTTCACTCTGAGCGTGGGTTTGAATCCCAGATGGGTTTCGATAAGAAAAATACTAAAAACTGAACTTGCATTTGCATGTTGCATTTGACCACATGTTAAAAATGATATATTCGTACCTTCATCAAATGGAGCGGTGCCAATCACGTTTGTCAGAGGTTTACCCAAAATATATGATCTAGACTACAAGTTGTCAGACTTCCAGTTTCATGTCAGTGGGTTAGATGGCTGACTTTGTAGGCATCACGCTGAGAATGTGGGTTCGAATCCTGGATCAGACTCAATCCAAAAATGTACTAAAATCTGTAGTTTGCAGGGAAAGTGAAATCCCAAATATAACATGTTGCTAACGCATTCAGTTTTTAAATTACATTACATCAACGATAAAGGACCTCAAAATGTAAAACAGAGTAGCTCTAACTTCAAATTGTGTATACATTTATAATACACCTTGATGAAAGAGACATGGCATCCATTCAGAGAAAGTTAATAAATCTGTGTTATGGTATAGTAGATATCATTTAATTGTGCTATGCTAGCTTTTTCACTAAGCCAGGACCTCATTTCATTAACAATCATTACCTAGGAAATGAACTTTGTCAGAGGATCAAGTTTGATATATGTGCCTTTTCCAGTTGTTTTTAGCCATATTTGTGTGGCTAACCACATCAAAAACTTGAAATTTAAGGAAGAAAAAAGGCTTGTCAGCCACTCCAACATGAATGATGTTTTTCATACCAATATACAAGTCAAAGTTTTCATTTTTATATCTGATGTTTCCAGTGGGCCATTTGCTTTTTCCTTAAAAAAAAATGCTTTTGATATAATTAAAAACTGAAGGTTTGTTGACATTAAGTGAAACATAATCTTTTATGAACATTTGGAATATTAGGTGTGTATTGACCTGCTTTTTTATCCCACCGGCATGTAATGCGGTGGGATATAGTCGTCGCCTCTCCGTCTGTCCGTCTGTCCGTCCGTCCGTCCGTAATCATTTTGTTTCCGGAGTATAACTCAAAGACCATTCGATATTTTTTAAACAAAATTGGGAGATATGTCAAACATAACCTAAGGTGGTGCCTTTTGCTATTTACAGATTATTGTCATTTTTATTTTTCTCGGTTTCCATGGAAACGTTTTTGACTTAGTCTTAAAGAAGGGTGGGCTTCGTTTCCGGAGCATAACTCAAGAACCGTTCAATATATTTCAACAAAACTTGGTAGTTATATCAAACAGATCCTAAAGTGGTGCCATTTGCTATTTGCAGATTTTTGGCATTTTTATTTTTCCCGGTTTCCATGGAAACAATTCGGACTTAGTCTCAAAAGTGAGGGGTAGGTTTGGTTTCCGGAGCACAACGCGAAAACTTCTTAATACCTTTCAGCAAAACTTGGCAGATATGTGAGGCAGATCCCAAAGTGGTGCCTTTTGCTATTTGCAGATTTTTGTCATTTTTATTTTTCTCGTTTTCCATGGAAACGATTCAGACTTAGTCTCAAAAGGGCGGGGTAGGTTTCGTTTCCGGAGCACAACTCGAAAACTTCTTAATATCTTTCAGCAAAACTTGGCAGATATGTGAGTGAGATCTTGAAGTGGTGCCTTTTGCTATTTGCAGATTTTTGTCATTTATTTTTTTCATGATTTCCATGGAAACGATTTGCACTTAGTCTAAAATCAAGCTGGACTTTAAGTAACTGTCAGATGATTTGTTCTTTGAAAGATGTGGGGGCCGGGGGGATATGTCATCTTCTGATGACTCTTGTTTTATTAAGGTATGAAATGACCTAAATACCATCCAGGATGCAGTGTTTTCTTCACTTTCATATACCTAAACATATCAATACTTACAGCAATATATAATCACTTCTGGGTTACATTATATGCATGGGATGTACAGAGATTTACTGATGTAATATCTTAGATGCAGGTCACATTGACTGACGCTAATCTTGGTTAGTAATAGAATCGATAATCTATGAGATTACAAACATAACTTAACAATGCCATTTAATGAATGTGAATCTGTCAATTCCTTATTCAGTTTGATACAAAACAAATATTCCAAAATGCTCAACTGGTCATCTGCATAAAGTTATAAGGGGATCTAAGGGGTTAAAAAAGAAAGACATTTTATATGTTGATCATTGAGGGTTGTCATGAAAATGAAGTGTTTATTATATGCAACATGTAAGAACAGTAATGATTGTTTACAGGAAAATGCTCTATCTGATATATCTAAGTGGGAAGCTGGTAGGAATTGTAATTTCCATGAATTTAAAGTTTATGTTTGTCATTTCTTTACAGATGCCTTTACAACTCAACTGGCAGCACATGACCGACAAATTGGTATCCATGATGTGCGAATTGCAGAAATGGATCTGAGATTTCAGATTTTGGAAACTGCCAGCTATGATGGGGTCCTGCTGTGGAAGATCCGAGACTACACGCGCCGCAAGCAGGAGGCTGTGAGTGGGAGAACCCTGTCACTCTACAGCCAGCCATTCTACACCAGCAAGTATGGATACAAAATGTGTGCGAGGGTCTACCTGAACGGCGATGGCATGGGCAAAACAACACACGTGTCATTGTTCTTTGTCATCATGCGTGGCGAGTACGACTCTCTCCTTCCCTGGCCGTTCCAGCAGAAGGTCACCCTCTACTTGCTGGACCAAGGAGTGGAGCGGCGTCATCTGAGCGATCATTTCCACCCTGATCCCAGTAGCAGCAGCTTCCGCAAGCCCCAGACCGAGATGAACATCGCATCTGGGTGTCCTCTGTTTGTCAGCCATTCTGTCCTGGAGAACCCGACAAACAACTACTTGAAAGATGACACAATCTTTATCAAGATTGCAGTTGAAACAGCAAATTTACGTATTGTTTGAAACAAGCAACATGTCTCAAGAGAAATTGCCTCTGGATGATTATCCAAACAGAGAGCAGAAAGTTTGTGTTTCAATGTATGTCATAAAAAAAGGCATGAGGTGTAGGAGTCAAAATTACTGAAACCTTTCTGTAAGATGATTGTAGTTTAGAAATGTTAAAAAATTATGTAGCTGAAGCTAAAGGGCATTTAGACAGGAGCTACCAAATCAAATCCACCCATATATTTGTTAATCATTGAAATTCCTTATCCAAATATATATCAAATCTACATAACCATTCTACCCATGTATATAATATATATATAAAAAAAAATACCAGCGCCTTGAGCAAGCACTAGTTGCGTGGATATGTGAGCTATATAAATATCCTATAATCATAATCATAATAATAATAATATTTATTCCACCTAATCTCAACAGGAAATATTGTATATTGTGTCACTTACCGGGGTAGTATTGAGAAAATACCAATCGCTCAAAGGGCATTATCCACTATATTGTTTATTGATTTTGGTGAGAGGCTTGTGAATAATTTTTTTGTACTGTATTATTTTTTGGGAGGAGGCGTCAAAGAAAGAAGCAGGAGGATTTAATACTGGCATAGAGCTGTATTCTGTAAATGCAATTCACTTCGTTGCTGATATTTATGCATTTTTCGTACCTTTTTCTCAAATCATTGTAATATGAAAAATTTAAATATTTCATTGTAAGTAATATTTTATGTAAAGAAAAAATTTTAATCTTATTTTGGTACATAAGAACAAGAAGTAACTATGGTTATGTAATTTTCCTCTTGGAACTTTCTTTGCTGGACGGATGCAAAGGGACCATGGGCTGTGTGAAAGTGTGAATGAATGACTGACTGGAAATGGCATTTTGAAATACGGGTATCGTGCTATGGTGATAATATAATGTATCACTTGTGTGTGAAAGCTGTGCTGAAGCTGTATCTATAAGCACAGACACTGAACTGTCATACCAAACGTTTTGAGACTTGACCTGTCTGGTTCTTGTCAAAAAAGCATGTGAAAGACAGTTAATAGTGACCATTTTAATCATGTTTGAATGTTTGAGAATGGAAGATGTATTCATAGGCTGCATATCTCTTTTTAGGTTTCAAATATTACTGTCACTCCTTCAAGTTGTGAACATATTGTGGCTGTGTCAACAAAGAAGAAGTCATAGGTTTGTCTGATTCAGATATGCCTCCTACCACTAATATGTATAACATTTCTGATTCAAGGAGTATCAATCAGAATAACATGTACCAAACTCTGGAATCTGTAACTACAAGCTAAGAACATTAAATCTGTAACTATAAATTGTTTTTATCTGACTTGATGAAATGCTAAAACTTCTAAAACAATGAATACACATTATTAGCAATAGTGACAAGGGCAATTGTATTTTTAATGTAAGCTCACCGTTTGCATTTGAAAAATATACTTTGTATACCTCTTATAAAATAGATTCAACATTATGCACCATTGAATACATTGAGTGATTGGGCCAAAAAAATATATGTCTGTTTCTGGTTACCCGGCTGACCCTATCCTATTTCTCTCTCTCTCTCTCTTCTCTTCTCTCTCTCTCTCCTCTTCCCCCCCCCATCTTTTTTTAACCAATTAAAAAATCATGACTTGAGTGCAATTCAACTCATCATTTTTGTCCAAATCAAGTATGATATTTTCATGTTTTTCAGTATATGTAGGGCTAAAATGGATTGCATTGGATTGGCATTATGGGCTCTCACTGACAAAACCTGCATATAAATAACATAAATAATGATTTGACGTAGAAATCTTTCAAAGTTTCATCACAAGGCATTGTCACAACATGAGATGGTATCCTTTAAGACATTCTCAGGTGCCCACCTAGTGCTACTAAAAGTAAAATGTAAAAAAAAAGAAGATAAAGTCGACCCGCCTCCTCTATGTTTAAAAAGCATGTAACAGGACCTATTTTTTTTGGCCTCGGAGAGAAAGTTTCATCATGTTATCAGAGGAATTCCATGATGTAAAGTTCCATTCATTTGAACAAATCAGGAGATGGTGGGTGAGGTGGCTAAAGGCGTCCAGGCTAGTGATCCAGCGAGCATGAGGTGCGGGATCGAGCCCACCTGTGACCGGGTGTAAAAAACTTTCGAGTCAACTTTGTGTGCAGACTCTTTCAGTGTTGTCACAATCCCTAGTGAACAGTGCACAACTCTGTGCACTTAAAAGAACCCACAAATCCATTGGTATATGACCAGATGGTGGCCACATGAATGCGTGCAAACACCTAGTTGCGGGTACAGCAACATGCAGTAAACTTGGACAAAGTACTGTGACTATGTGTCCCAGTCAACCCAGCTGTGAATGGGTACCCCGTAAGTTTGGGAAAGCCGCCATAACTCGGTGCACCTTCTGGCAGCAGGAGTTGTATAGTCCCCAGGGAGTTGAGATTTATATAAAGATGTGCCATTGAGCTTGACATCCAATGATCGAGGGGAAAATACCAGCGCCTTGAGCATGCACTTGTGCGTGTATATGTGTGCTATATAAATATCCACTAAAAAATAAAGACAGGACTGGCTTGATGTGAAAACCTGGAAGAATGTTCAGGTGAATGGAATTTTGCACATACATCATCTAATTTATAGTGTGAATGTTTGAATGACTGGTAACTAAGATATAATCACTGATTTCCAAAGAGGCATCAGCTTGCTACTCTGTAGGCTGTTCCAGTCATTTTAAATAGAGTACTTTCTGATGTTTTTCTGGACGTTACGTAAAAAAGCAAAGCCTTGGGTTCCTTTGCAATTATCAAATATATTATCATCGTTGATACTGATGTATTAACCCATGAAGATCCAGGTTAGAATTGGACTAACAGGATCACTTGAGCATTAAGACTAATTCAGGACAGCCATTGTCCAAATATTTAAAAAGTCCAAAACTATGTAATCAAGACATGTGGGACTTCATTGTAATATATATATGATGCTAAGCTGTATTTTTAATCACTACTGTACATCCTTATCACTACCGCATTGTAAATTGACTTGTCAGCCCATTCATTATTGTATACTACCCATCAAAAGTTTAGACTCACTAGTGTAAATGTAGCCACTTACTTGTCCACTGTTCTAAACTAGCTTTTTGCAAAATATTCCATACTGTTTAAAGGTACTGTTTAGTTATGAACTGGTGTATTGTAAAACATATTCGTAACATTGAAAAGATTATTGTCATGAGTTCAGTAAATGATTAAAATCTGTGAAAATTGGTGAATTCTTAACAAAACTTTACACCAAAACGAATCTGTTCACATGCACGACATTTGCTCATGCCTTTCGCAATTTGAAGCATCATCCTTGTGCAATTCATCTGCATAAGGTTTTCAGTTGGTTCCCCCAAGTTGGTGGAGAAATTCATCTTCGATGTAACCACATACATATACATAACATATAGTGAGTGCTTTAAGTGAGTCTAAACTTTTGATGGGTAGTATATAAGACATTTATAACCTTTATTGGTAATCCCCCTTGGCCGTGTCTGCCATCACATCAACTGGTCAAGGAAGTGCTATTGTTTTTCTGTCTGTCCATTGATGAGTCATCGCCTGACCATTGTTGTCAAAAACTGTATATATATTCTTAGTATGCTCACATCTAGACAGGGGAAGGGAGTACGAGTTCGGTAGTTGGACTGTCCGTTGGGACGACCACGAGCAGGATAATGCCGCTTGTAGGAAACGCCCTGGGGTTGAGCAGGTACACCGCTCGCCTCGCTCATGTCTTGTGTATTTGTTTATCATGTACTAAAGACGTTTGAACTCAACTCCCTCGTATCATCAACACACACTTCATCTTAATTATGAGCTAATTCCCCAGTTGACACGTACACCACGCGTTGACACCGGCTCAAAAGTCGTTTGATCAGGGTTACAACTTTCAAGACCTGAGTAAACATTTATGGTAGGTTTGGTGTGAACATTTCCATTTTGACTTACCATATATTTCCCCCCTTAGATAGAGTTGTCATACTATTTGTTTGTGATTAGTGGTACTTGTTGAACAGGATGCACTCACCTTTTCACAAACCTCAGGTATCAACGCTGTCTGACAGTGATAGCGATTTATATATACATGCTTATAATGTAGAAAGTTAGATGATAATGCAGTGGATACAATTGAGATTTCATTTAATTCACCCAGTGAAAGAATTTCTCATGGCCTGACAACTGGTTGCTTGATGGCAAGCGGAGATTTCTTATGATCAAGGAAGTGGTGTTACTGCAACATATTTTTGTTATTATGGTTCATAACTGGTTCAAGGACAAGTCTGGCACCACATTTTCAGCATTGTGTATATACTGTAATGGAATTGTGCAAATATATTATACTGCTATGTAATATACATTTGGTATATTTTGATGAACTAACATGGAAATGCAGAACATCTCATTTCTCAAAAGAGCTTAAAGAAATATTGATTGATTGACCAAATGTTATTGTGGTCAGATTCTATACAAAACATATTAATTCCAACCAACTTGCAAATCAATCACTTTTACCTTGATGTAGGGGTGATGGTGTAGCCTTGTGGTTTAAGTGTCCGCTCGTCACGCTAAAGGCTGGGGTTCGATTCCCCACATGGGCACACTGAGTGAAGCCCATTTCTGGTGTTCTCGGCCATGATATTGCCGGACTCTTGCTAAAAGCAGCATAAAACCATACTCACTCACTCACTCACTCACTCACTACCTTGAAGTAGGTCAAGTGTCACATAATAAAAACACATCCAGAACCATTAGAGAAGGTTTTCAGGCTGCTTTTATGAGCTGACTACAGAGGATAATGATTATAGCACTATCTAAATGCCCAAATGCTTCACTACTGGTTATTGATTCATGCTAATTTTTCTTTCTTCATGTCTTTGTATTATATTTTGATAATATCTTTTGTGAGATATGTTTGATATTTTCTTCATTTATCCTTAGGATTTCAAGTTTAGTAACCTTGTCTTTATGTATGTCTTAAATCAACATTGTTAGTTTCTATAACTTTCTAACAGAATTGTGTTGCCTAATGTGATGTTTTTAATAAGAATAAGGACATGAATATTGAGAGATTCAAATACACACACATGCCTTTGTTTACATAACAGCTTTTATGCTTCTAATTTAGACTTGGACCAGTGAACATCCATCGCCACTAACGGGATCGGGTAGTCTGTCTTCTCTGAGTTGGCTGACATGTCATTGTATCGATGCTATTGATCACTGGATTGTCTGGTCCAGAG